TATGCTAATGAGCTCCGGCAGCTCTTTTGCTACAAAAAGACCCCTGCCTAATAGTATTCCTTGTAAGCCAGCTGCCCAAGAACTGGACTATGGTTTTCTTCTTTTTGCATGAACTACATTAGAAAGATCATGACGGCTCTGCATTCCAGCCTTACTCAACTGCCATACAGTCACCGGCCATAAGCTTGTATAGGATGGAGGTGTCACACTAGCTTAGGAAGAACGATGTTCTGTAGAACCTGAGGATAAATCAGTTGACCAAAACACACAACCCGTTACTGTTTTTCTTCTGGATTTGTCATAGATAAAGAAGCAGCAGCACAAAAACCTAGCCAAGAAGAACCTGGAGATGCAGATATTTGTAGTGATCTAAAAGATGAAGAATTCACAGATGAGAAACATGAATCTGAGTTTAGCTTGGAAACCAATTTTATAGAAGAAGAGACTGCAGACCAGAAAGAAAGCTGTTCTTCTGTGGAAGCTGCAAAAGGTAACTCTGCTAGTGTGTCTGTTAAGGGGGCTGTATGTAAACATTTAAGCCAGGTGTGAGGCAGAGCAGCATTCTTGCCTCCCCTTAAGGGTTAATGTGTATAATAACAGGCCTGGTTCTTCCTTGAGACCAGGTCTGCATAGCTTGAGACTCACCAAGCCACCCTCAGCCCATTCAGTGTATACATGGCAGCCCAGTAAAGGCGACGTTCAGCCTCCTGTTTTTGAAGCTTGCTTGGGGACTGCACACAAAGGGGGGTGGGGGTTGTCAAACACTTGTCAGGCCACAGTATGGTAGGTTGCATTTCATTTGCTGGGATTAAAACTATGCATCCGGATTCAAATGCTAAAAAGTAATCTATTTGCAATATACATTACAATTCAGTTACCCCAAGAAAAGAACCCTCTGTCTGGTCAATGCATGTCTTGCATTTCTTCCAGAGGATGCTTCAGAAAAAGAGTTTCTGCTCTGAGGAAAGAGCACTGATTCTGCTTCTGTGTGAGCCTTGCCATTTTCCAGCTGTTCGGAGCAATTGCAACAAGATGCTGGAAATGACATGGTTTCTAAGACATGTAGGTTACCAGCAAGCTGCCTGGTGAGCAGTGGTATAAAACTAAGAGTTTCAGTAACAACTGAGAAGTGTACAGTTATACTTGCTTAATGCTATAATGTTTGTCCAGGTGGCTTATGGTGCAGGTTTCCTGGTGAGAGGGCATAGAAATGTTTTAAATAAGTAAATAAATGTTCAGTTTGCCTATTATTCAGATAGCAGGAGGGGAGGAGATCATAATGTGTGTGAGGTCAAGTTTCTGTGATTGAGCAGCAGGAAAACAATCCAGTAATAGGTAAGCTACTTTGGGCTAAGAAGGCCAGGTTACTCTCAACATAACTTTTGCACTTTTCTTCCACTCCACCACCAGCACCACATCCTATTGAGCTAAAGAGATGGAAGAAAAGGTTAAACAATCAGAAAAGTCTAGGGAAAAATTGCTGAGATAGAAAGTAAAATATCACTGACAAAAAAGGACCATGAGGCAGCTTCTGAAGCATCTGGTTGTCTGTTCAAAGAAGCCAATGAACGATTAAAGAGAGTAATACAGAAAAGAAATTTGCAGGAAGGTAGTATAGCACAGGGTATGTTGGAAGGCTATGTTGCTATGCGTGGAGCTGAGCAGCAAAAACTTAACAAAAAACTGTAGAGAAAAGAAAAAATAGTTTGATCACTGCTTTCTTTGGTAAAAAAACTAAAAAATATTTATTTATTTTTATTTGAATTAAGCATTCCATTTAATAAAAAAATCCTAATCATACTTTTTAGTGTGGTTTTTGTTTTTATTCAATAATAAATGAACATGTCATACCCCATCCAGGACCAGAAACGAATGGAACTTAGCCTTAAACACCAAGTGATATCCTGTGCATGAATATATATGCATATATATATATAATATATTCTACTGTATGACATACTACATATTTTGGAAATTTTGGAGTGTTAAAAATAGCTTGATTAACAAACTGAAAAAATTGTGGGAAGAAAACCACTAGGTAGATATCATAAATGCTAATAATCAATTTGATGCCATCCCACTCAAGTTTTGAGAGAAAAATTATATTCCTTATCATTTTGTAGTTACACAAAATGTATATACTTACACATTTGTTACTGGTCTCAACTGGCTGTCTGAGTTTGGACTCTCCGGCCCCCGGGGAAGACGGGAGTTACCTCCCATCTCCAAGCAGGGAGGCCACCATCAAGCCGGAGGAGAGCTGGGAAGATGGGGGAGTGGAAGACAAGGAGAGATACAGAAGACAAGAAGACCAGGAAGTATTCACCAAAGAGGGCTGGACTGACAGAGCTTTGAGAACTGGAGACGCTCCGAAGCCCAAAAGAAGAGAAGAGGAAGAGAAGAGGAAAAGAGATCAAGATCCGTGGAGACAAAGATGTGATCTGGATGACCTGTAAAGATCCACCTGGGTAGAAAGGCGGAAACATACCTGGAGTGAGTTCTCAATGATTGGCAGGGGAGGGGAAGCCTAGGAATTGCTTATTTAAGAGGGAAGTCAAGGGCGAGCCGGGGAGGATGTGCCCGCTTGACTCCATGTGCAGAGACCTGGAGGGTCGAACAAGAGAAAGTGGGAGACAGGGAAGAGGGGGACGAAGGTCAGGAGTAACCTCCCCCCTTCCTTTGTCACGATTGAGGCTCATCCTGCGACTAGAATCCTCCCAAGAATAATTGTCCTGGAGCAACTGTACTCTCCGCACTCGGCACAACAAAACCCGGGTACTGACACCGGCCTTTTTTTGGTTGGGGATTATTGAGAAATACATATATTTTATGCATCAGAATGTTTAGTGCAAAAACATGTGAGTATCAAACATTTGAACCATATGGAGCACTTGGTGACTTGGTCTCTTTAGTCTCTTTTCAGTCTCTTTTCCTGCCATTTTAGTCTCTTTTCTTTCTCTTTTGGGCGTGGTCTACCAGTCCTAGCTCTGCCTATACTACTATTAGTGTTACAGACTTTGAACAAAGTTTGAATCCAGTGGCCACTTTAAGACCAACAGAGTTTAATTCTGGGTATAAGCTTTCGTGTGCATGCATGTATCTGAAGAAGTGTACATACACATGAAAGCTTTTACCCAGAATTAAACTTTGTTGGTCTTAAAGGTGCCACTGGACTCAAACTTTATGATGCTCACCTGAATCTGTTACAACTGTTTTCATCATCAGCTACCTTTATTGGCATCACAACAAAACATAGATCATCAAGGGATAAAGGGTACAACCTTCATTGCTGGAGTTGAAACATTCCTCTCCTCTTAGTGGCACAACATAGAAATTAGCCACCAAATCAGTGATCTCAGAGTTATGGGAAGATAGTAAAAAAACCGTCTTGCAAACATCAGATTGACCCTTGCGAATTTGTAGCAGAGGTTCTAGATATATGGCACGAATATCACAGTAAAATATGCAGGATATGTTACAACTGTTGTAACCAATTTCTGTTGCCTTTCTTTGCCTTTCTAAGTGTGTTGAAATGCTTTTTGTAACATGCAGTTAAATGGGAAAATATTTTGTTTTTACTCTTCTTTAAATTCTATTTTTACTGTCTAGCCTGCCAGTAAAGATGCTCTTCCAAAACCCCGCTCTTGGTGTTCCCACCTGCAGAGGTGATGTGGGTGTTAACCAAAGGCCAGATGTTTTCAGTGGTTGCACCTCACCCAGGCCATAACCTGTCTTTTTTATTATTTTATTGTATTGTTTTTATCTTGTGAGCCTTCTCGAGCTGGTCTCTGGAAAGACCAAATAAATAAAATATGCTTTTGTCTCTTTCCACAGATCCATTTAAGCACCACATGGATGAAGAACTAAACAAAAAAGATGTAGATAAAATTGTGGCACGTTCCAAATCTACCAGCCAGGTCAAGGTAATGATGCACTGATTTGAATCCTAAGTTTGCTGTAGTATTCTGAAATAGTTCTACAGGTCTTGTGAATCTGTTCATAATTAAACATTTCCATGACTGTACTGTGCAGTCTAGTGCACTTAGACCCTGTTTATCATTTGGTAAAAGATGTGAAGTAAAGATCTTCATAGCGATTGTGTGAGGAGGGCGGGGTAAAAATACTTGCGGGGAGGGCGGGGTAAAAATACTTAAATAAAATAAAAATAAAATAAAAATAATGTGTTAACTTTACTGCATTTTTCTCTTTTAGTGGCCAGTACTGGGTCAGTTAGTGTTTTCTTGCACCTTGGAGAAGTTTGGAATGATTAAGCCTGATAAAGAAGTCAGTGTGAAACACCTTCATTTGCACAGGCCTTTAGAAATCACCTGGCCAAAAGTGAACAGCCTGTTCCTTTCCAAACAACCTAAATCAGAAGGTCAGCCATTTACCCCACTGCAAAAGGAACTCTTCTGCATTATGAATTCATACAAGGACTTGTTCTACCCAGAGAGGACTGCTTTAAGAAATGCGGAAGAAATTCGTCATGTTTACTGCCTGCATGCCATGAACCACATCCTGAAGGCAAATGCTCAGGTGCTCAGCAACAATGCCAAACGAAGGGACCAAAAACAAGGTGTTGAGGATGATGGATTCAGGGACCAAGGACTCACAAGACCAAAGGTGAGAAGGTTTACTTAATTTAGAGTCATTGCATAGATCTTGCTGTAAAACTTAAATTTCTCAGTAGGCACCTCACAGCAAATACCTCCTTCAAAAAGCCTCTGTAAACACCTGAAAAAGTGTGGAATTATAAAACCACTCAGCTATAACATGTTGGCTTTGGCGTGGAGATGCCTGACATATTGCATGGCCAAACACTATAGACAACCCAGCTCTACAATTGAAGGTTATGTAATTTCACTCACAGATGTTGACACCGCTGCTTGGTTCCCCACAACCTGCTTCTTAGAGACCTAAATCCTTTTTTGGACCTGTGTGATCCTCTTTGTCAGCTGTCTACAGGTTCTTAGAAAAATTCAGCTACAAACTAGAACTGGCCATGTCTGAGGAGCTGTGGCTTTAAGAGCTGGACTCAGAAGCCTCACAGGTGATGTTCTGAATTTTGTTGGTTATGTCCGGTCCTCAAGCTAGCTGAAGGGTATAGCAGTGGCTTCTTTCACAACAATGTGGTCTTAAGCAGTTTTTTAAAAAATGAAACAAATATTTGCAGAGCAAACAACTTTGTGTTTCCGTGCTTTTGTTGGACTTTGTCTTCCTTTCTTTTTGTGGGAGCTATTTGCACAAAATGGAATCCTGTTTGCGTTTTCTCTGTATAGGTGCTGATAGTGGTGCCCTTCCGTGAGTCTGCTTTACGTGTGGTGCAAGTTTTCATCGGCCTCCTTGAATCTGCAAGTAAAAAGAAAATTGATGTGAGTAACAAAAAGCGGTTTAAGGGGGAGTTTGGTTCAAATCCAGAAGAGAAACCTCCAAATCTGAAAAGGCCAGAAGACTATGAAGCTGTCTTTGCTGGAAACATTGATGACCACTTCAGGATAGGTATTGAAAATTCTGTGCCTGAGTTTGTTTGTTTGTTTGTTTCCCATTTTTGTCCTGCCAAGTCGCCAAAGAAAATCCTGTATGGTTCTTTCCCCTTCCCTCCAATTTTGTCCTCAGGAACCCTTTAAAGTGGATTAATTTGAGAGAGGGAGAGATTGGTCCAAATCACACACTGAGCAATTATGGCTGAGTGGAGATTTGAATATTGTCTCCCAGGTCTCTGGTAGTCTAACCGCTGCTCCATATACTCTTAGTTTTAAAAAGATGTGATATGGTTTAAAAAAATATGATGTAATGTTGGGTTGATTCTTTTCATGGGTTTTGGCTTTCTTAGAATGTCTTGTCTTTTTAGGGCTGCTTCATATATGGCAAAATTCCTACAAATCATTTCTGTATAGAAATTTTTGTTCAAGCCACGTGTTGATCCTATATGTGTATTCCCCCACATAAACATATATTATGCATCCAGTGTATACTGTGTATCCATGTCTGGTGCAGCAAACAACGAATGTGATCAGTTTTCATACTTTACTTTTTACTTATTAAGTTCCTGAATATTCCTAAACAGAAGTGATTTCTGTTTAGGAATTTCTTTATGTCTAAATATGCTGTAACGGTTAACAGTAGTGCAAACCCTCAGGTTTGGACAGCCTGATAGATGAATTCTATTTTAAAAGGAATACATACAGCACAGGAAAACTATCTGAACTAGGCCGACTTGGTTCTTAGTTATGATTGTAGCATTGTGGCAAATGCACAACATGGGTGGGATTCTCCAGGATAGATGTATTTTAGACAGCTTTGTTTTTGGGTTACAGATTCGGTCTAGGGGAGACAGTTGCAGTCTAATCCTTAATCTCTTGGGCCACTGCCCTAGAGTTACGATGGATGTACGGTAACTCCATATCCACTGTACTTCAGCGGAGAGGGGCTGGAGCTCAGTGGCAGAGCATGCACTTTGCATACGGAAGTTCCTGGTTTCATCCTTGTTCTTTATTGTCAAAGGATCTTAGGCAGCTGGTGCTGGGAAAAACCTTTCTTTGCCCAAGGCTCTGGAGAGCTGGTGCCAGAGTCAGCAAAGCTGAAATAGATGGTTCGACTTGGTATAAGATGGCTTCATATGTATGGCCCTGGAGGGGTAAAATTCTAGCTATGGCCTACTTTCCATGGGGGCAGGAAGAGGCTAGCCCATGCTAGCCCAGTCTCATCACATCTTGGAAGCTAAGCGGGATCCACCCCAGCTACTATTTGGATGGAAGATCTCCAGCAAATACCAGGGCCGTGATGCAGAGGCAGGCAATGGCAAATCAGCTCTGAATGTCTCTTGCCTTGAAAACCCCATGGGGTTGCCATAAGTCAGCCGTGACTTGACGGGACTTTCCTCCACCATCAGAAGGAGGAGGGCCCGGTTTACTGCTCCCCCTCTTCCCCAGTACTTGACAGACTGTAGGAGAAAAGAAAATTCGCATGTGCCTCCAAAGGAAGATCCAGGATTCAGTTTTGCTGCTGGCTGGGTGTGAAGTGGAGTGTGAGGCTCTGGGTTACATGGCCTTTGATCCAGTTGGCCCTGGTAGCTTGTGTGAAGTTGGGTTGTGCCCTAGCATCTGAGGGGTCAAAAGCAAAAATAAGAGAGCTGCACAGGAGGTGTCAGTGACAGCCCTACACAAAGTGAAGGATCTACCCTGAAGTCTTCTGCTATGATATAAAGTACTCTGCGGCACATTCGTCTCACATGGCCCTGCCCTCTTCTAGCTACTGCTTTGCTTGCCTCTCGCATAGATAGCCCAACTACTTCTTAGGAAAGATGGGATGAATGGTGGAAAGAATGAAAGATAGCTGGAGAACTGGGCAGTGAATGACAGAGGCTGTAGCTTGGAGGTAGACCACATCTTTGACGTGCAGAAGACTCAGTCCTTGGCATGTCTACTTAAAGTTTCTTGGTACCACGTGAAAAAGATCCTTCTCTGTCTGAGACACTGTCAGTCAAAGTGGACCATAATGAGCTGGATAGACTAGTAAACTGAGGCAGCTTTATGTGTTTAGATATAGTTGCCTAACCTTGAGGTACATCATGGAGTAGAATGCTGCGGGTGTCATTTTAATAAGCATTGTTGAGTGCATCGTGTGGTGATATTGGTTGTTATTCTGGAATTGTTTGATCCCAAGATGCATTTGTTCAAGTAATATCTCAAAATGATCCCAGTGGTAGTGTAAGAAAACAAAATTAAATTAGATTGCAGTATTAAGACAATTGGTTTGCTCTGTTACCATTTATCTGGGGTGAAGGTAGGGGAGTGACTGCCAAAAAATACTGAGCCCCCATTGTTTTGCAAAATAACTGTTATTAGAATGCCTGCCATTTCCAGCAGAGCTCTCATGTATATGAGAAAGGTGCAGGGATTCTGAATGTTGGCTGAGGAGAAAATGTCAAGACTATTTCAGAAATTGCGATTTCATGCTGCTTTGTCAGCGTGTTATGCAGAGAATTTGCCTGTGGCTTGATGCCTGGAACTCCTGCTGTGAAAAGGCAGTCTTCAGAGTTAATATTACTTGAAGGTATTGTGCCGTGAAAGGCAGTAGGAGGCAAGCATTGCTTCATTATCATTACTGACTGTCTTTATTAGGGATGGGCCTAAACCTCGCCACAAACCTAGTTTTGTCACGAACATGGCCAGTTCATGAGGCCTCAGTTCATGAGATTGCTTCTCTCATGAACCGCCCACGAACTGCCATGTTTTTCATGGAGGTTCATGAGGTTTGTAGTGGCGGTTCATGAACCAAACACACTGGCATCAATAAATTAATTGGGGGGGGGGGTGGACTTCTGCAGTCCTGGAAACACCTATACTGGCCTTCCAAAGCTTGGCAGGCAGAATTAATATTTACCCCAAGCTCTCACACAGCTCTTTTTACTTGGCAGCAGGCAGTTAGTCAGAGAGGGAGTTAACTGTTAGAGGTAAAGAGGGAAAGAATATTGTTAACAGTGTCCGTGCTTCAGGGCTCTCTGAGGCAACTATTCCTCTGGTACAGCCAGGCGGACCCACAGTCACCCTCAGTGGGATTTTTGCACAACTGATCCTAGTTGGGGTGGTTTCTGGTGGGCCCAGGGCTCTGACCACCTCCTGTCCCTCTGCCACAGCCAGGTTTGCCCTTCAGGTTGGACTCGTTTAGAAGGCAGATTGAAGTATTGACAGTCTATTGTTATGCAGCCATCTATAAATAAAGTAAACTATAAATAAAAAGTAAAATAAAACAAGCTGGCATATGGGTGCATTAGTCCCAGGGTGCCATCCTTCTGTGAGAGAGCCCAGCCAGCAAAGTTCGTGGTCAGAATCAGATTTATTGTTTGTCCTTTAGCTCACTAAGAAAGCATATGGTTGCTGCTTTGAGCCCTAGAGTACCATATGTCTTATTAGAGAGATGTGAAGAAATAAAGAGTGGGTGTATACAGGTGGCTTTTAACGATGGTCACTTTTTTATCAACTAACTAGGGATCCGTGCAGCTTCCATAGGAGGCTACTCATATGTGGCATCTAGACATGAGGTAAAGCAGACCTCACCATGCCTCTATACCCAGCTGGGGCATGTTTACAATTTTTCACACCACATGGTTGGATGCTACAGAGGACTGGTTTCCTAGGTGGTTGTATACATTCCATGCTGGATTGACAGATGGTCACCAAGTGCAGGGAAAAATAAGCCGTAGTTTAAGGACTAGGATTGGGCCTGGTTAGTATAAGGCTTTTGTTCCAGTTGTTGGTATCTAGTAACTGTTTGGCTGCTTTATTGACCCTGCAGTTGTGTGTGGCTAAATGGCCTTGGACGTCATGTAATTTACAAATTAACATTTGTTAATTAAGTGGAATTGGTTAGGAATGAAACTAATTCCTATCCTACCAAGTAGACTTAAGGAGTACCTATTTGGAAAATGTTGGGGGTGGATAATAAAACCTTCCAGGGTACATAAACAGAAAACTATTGTGGTTGGATAACAAATTGATGATGTAATGGTTTTTCTGTGTGTCTGGGGCAGGTGTTGCTGTTCTTCAGAAGAGTATGCGACTGTATGCACCATTTTATTCTTCTGATGTCATCATTGCTTCTCCTCTTGGCCTAAGGACTGTTATTGGAGCTGAGGGGGAAAAGAAAAGAGAGTACGATTTTCTTTCGTCAATAGAAATGCTTATAATTGATGAAGCTGACATTTATCTGATGCAAAATTGGGAGCATGTTTTGGTAATGACTATTTTTTGGCATTTCATTTTGTGAATATGGTTAACTACATATACAATACAATAAACAGGAAGTAGATCTTAGCTTCAAAAACTATAACAGTTTGATTTGACCTAACAGGTTGCATGCTTTTATGTTTTTGTGCTTTTCCACCTTGAATTGATATATTCATCAAGATGAAGCTTGTCAATCACCGTTCTTAGCTATTGAGAAATAGCAACTGAGCCATCTTCTGAGGGCAAGGTTTCTCATTAATATATGGCACCTTAAAGAGTTCCACAGAGAAAAACAGACAGACAGGTCTTTGCCGCTAAGGACTCTAAAGTCCAAAACAGATGATGTGGGAACAACAGAAGCAGGCTGATCCAGGGAGGCTTATCTTTTCAAAAATGGTAGGAGAGGTTTTTCAGTATGCAGTAACATATCTGCGTACATATAAAGGGACACAAGATGATGCTATTGGAAAAACATAAGGAATTTAGAAAGCAATGTAAACACCACTTATGATCTCTGTTTGGTCAGTACTGTTTTATTAGTTGTAGAACAGTAAAACCAGTTAGATACTTTATTTTAAGCGTTCGAAGGGTAACATTGGTTTGTCCAAAGTGCAGTTGTAGTAAAGCAACATCGCTATAAATTCTAGTATTAGCACATCCTGTTCTGATAGATGAATACTGGCTCTCAGATGCTGTAATGTGAGATTTTCAGAAGTGAGTTCTGAGGAGCAACTAAAACTTCCTAAAGATACAAGTTTTACACAGTTAGGTAGGGTCAGTATATATTTAGGTGCAATTTAGCTTTGCAAGCTGCTAAATCTCGGCTTTTGGGTTTTCCTAAGCTCCCCCCCCCCCCCCCCCCAATTTTCCTTTTTCTGCAAGTTGAATAATGCACATCTTTTCTTCAATATGTCCACAGCACCTTCTGGCCCACATTAACCTGCTGCCTTTGGAATCTCATGGCGTGGATTTCTCAAGAGTGCGAATGTTCAGTCTCAATAACTGGTCCAAGTATTATCGGCAGACACTGCTGTTTGGAGCCCTTCAGGATCCACAGATCAACTCCATCTTCAATAAGCACTGCCTGAATTACCGGGGACAGGTTAGTTTGTGGACATGCTAGTAACTCTTTTGTAGAACTGAAGGAGGTTTGTTGGCCTTGCACCATTCAAAATATTTAGTCATATATGCATTCTAAATCCTTCCATCTCAAAATGTTTGTTAAATGTTTTGCAGCTAACCTGACTGTAGGCAGTCGCTGTCCCCTTCCAGTAGTCATTACTTGTGTCTCCTTCTGCCACTGATGGACCACTTTGGAGAACTGCGGGGTGGGGTGGGGATGATTTTGGCCTGCCACTTCCATCACTTCTGCAAAAGTTGATCTTCATGAAAACTAGGTGCTGTTATAGGAATACTGAAACTTCCTCAAATGGATTATTTATTCAGAACTGTGATGGGTTTCAAAAAAATCCAGTTGAATAATGTAATAATCAATTTAAATATATTTAAAATATGCACATCCTGCTCTTATAAGCCTTGAAGCAGTTTACATGTGTCAATCAGATATACCCCCCAAATCCAACCACTACCTCAAACATATACAAAATTTCATCGCATAAGTAAGCCAAAAGAAAAAGCGGAGAGGAAAGCAGCAATTTTTTTGTAACCCATCAATAAATTACATAAAGTGGTTTTCCATGTTCTTGGAAGCCATAAATAGGGACAGTACTGTTCATGTCAGTGTGACGGAATGGTTTGGATGTGACGCACATATTTTCCCATTATGCAAGTGATGTGGACAGTCCTGTATACATGTGCATGCTGGAGCCACTGGATTTATTTATTTTTTAAATATTTGAGTCCACCTTTCTCCCAGGAATTTGGGACCCAAGGCAAGTTAAAATCCTACTGAAATTGCTGCGCAGTTAGGGTAGAACAGATAAAAGGAAGTACTTCTTCATCCAAAGAGTGGTTAACACATGGAATTTACTGCCACAGGAGGTGGTGGCGGCTACAAGCATGGACGGCTTCAAGTGGGAATTAGATAAACATATGGAGCAGAAGTCCATCAGTGGCTATTAGCCACAAGGTATAGATAGGAACTCTCAGTCTGGGGCAAGTGATGCTCTTACGTTCTTATGTTCTCTTATGTTCTTACATATCTTCATCTTTTGGTTTTATCTTAAACATTTATATTCTGCACACTTGGTGTATTGATTCCCAAGGTACTCAACAATTTAAGTACCTGCACTATTCTAGCCTCTGCTGGAATACGATCAAAAGAAGTACCTACCCACACATACCCTCAGTCTAAACATTATGCAAAAGAAGAAACGAGACTGTGAAGAAAAAGGGGTAAACCTAACTGGCTAGGTTGTACTACAGTAAGGGGGGAAGTGTCACTTTCAAAATCTGTGCACTGATGAAATTTTGTAGGAGAAATCTGGAGAAGTTTAGATACCAGATTCATTTTCTAAAACTGTCTGTCTCATTCTCTTGGAAAAGTCAACTAAATGGGAACATGACAGAGATAAAGAGAGAGTGTAGAGACATTTCCCTTCTTAAAAATAACAGATACCAGGCCAGAATTCAGTTGGCAGTAGGCTCCAGAGTCAGACAGCCAGAAAGCCAGTTCTGTCTTCATGCGCCTCTTAATTAAATTGTGAATTAAAATGTAATAAGATAAGTCATGGCCACTACCTTAGTTAGCATTTAAAAGAGTTAGATGTGGAGGCTAGATCAGTGAACCCATCATTAACTGTGATGAAACTTCCATGTTCACAAGTAATATGTCCCTAAATACCAGATGCTGAGGATAAGCAACGGGGGTAGCAGGGTTCATCTGTTTCTAGGGCGTCTAGTGGCCATCATGTGAAATAAATATCTGGACTAGATTAGACTGATCTGATCTGGTCCAACCAGGCAACTCTTCTGTTCTTAAACAAGAGCTGATGACAGTTATAAACTCGTAGTCTAGTGTTTTTGTTTCACTGTTCTAATTGTTTCTTACAGGTAGCAGTAAGGAACGTACCCTTGGTGGGTTCCGTCAGTCATGTTGTTGTGCAGCTTCCTCATGTTTTTCGGAAACTAGAAGCTGAAAATTCTGTTTCTGTAATCGATGCAAGGTAATGGGGCACCAAGCCATTTATCCTATGCTTCACTGACAACTTCACGTGTTGCCTTGAGCAGAGTGTAGTGTGCTGGAAAAAGGATACATCTAATGCTTAATTTAAAGCTTACTTCCATCACTTTTGCACTGCATCATGCAGCTTGAATTCTCCCTGTGTGTTCCTGAATCTTTTGCTTTTTGATACATCATAGAAATCTTTCCTGTTTGCCTCTCTGAACCTTTTTTGACCTTCAGTTTCCATATCTTTGTGTAATGGACAGAGTTTAAAATTGGTGGCACTGTATAAAGTTGGTCTGGAAATCATATTCTAGAAACAGTTTTCCCAGTCCCAGATGTATGAGGGTTGATGCTGGCACATACATCATTCTGATGACTTGCTGCTGAATGTGTAAGCAGTCATTGGAAAAATATGTCTTTGGTGAGGAGGTAAGAAAATTACATCTCTGCTAGCTCATTCATACTGGCTGGCCATCACTTGATCCTGCAATCAAGTTGTGCATATGTGAATCAACTCTGTGTAATGAAATAAAGACAGTTTCCATTATTTGGGGGGGGGTGTTTATCTCCTGGGTGCTATTTCTGAGCCCTGGCTCTGAGAATTGATTCCAGAGTTGGCTTTAGGAAGAGCTGACTCTCACCATGAAGAATCAATATGTATGTTCACTCTGGACATGTGAAGGCCATCAAAACAGTTCCCTTATGGCATGTGGTCCTCACTGCAGAAGTAACTCATTTAGAGCATCTTAACGCATGGATCACTGCCATTACATGGATTGTCATCATGCTCATACCAGAACTTACCAGTAATATCTGTTGATGATGTAGAGCTCGTGGGCACTCCATGAAACTGCAGAGCGGTCGGGTTAGAACGGATAAAAGGAAGTACTTCTTCACCCAAAGAGTGATTAACACATGGAATTCACTGCCACAGGAAGTGGTGGGTGCTACAAGCATGGACGGCTTCAAAAGGGAATTAGATAAGCATATGGAGCAGAGGTCCATCAGTGGCTATTAGCCACAAGGTATAGATAGGGGCTCTGGGGCAAGTGATGCTCTGTCTTCTTGGTGCTTGGGGGGGGGGTCAACAGTGGGAGGGCTTCTAATGTCCTGGCCCCACTGCTGGACCTCCTGATGGCACTGGTATTTCTGGCCACTGTGTGACACAGAGTGTTGGACTGGATGAGCCTTTGGCCTGATCCAACATTGGCGTCTCTTATGTTCTTATGTTCTTATGTTCTTAGCTTTTTCTACACAGTGGCAGATGTTGAAGACTTTGCATGTATGTCTGTAATACAGTGAATTTTCCATGAAGATTCTGTTTTGGCTAGTGACCAGTGCACTGAACCTTAACAATATTTTATTTGGAATTTTGTTAAATACATTATTGATGTTCCATTCACCTTCCTGTTTGCATTCAATTACATGTACTGAGTACTGTATCTGTTTTCTTAACCAGGTTCCATTTTTTCATTGACAAAGTGTTGCCTGAGTATCGGGATGCAGTTATGTCACACACCCTCATTTATGTCCCATCATATTTTGACTATGTGCGTCTTCGGAACTACTTCAAAAAAGAGGACCTGAGTTGTATGCACATTTGTGAATACACAAGTAAATCAGGCATTTCCAGAGCAAGGCACTTCTTCTTAAAGGGAGAGAAGCAGTTTCTAATTTTCACAGAACGCTTCCACTTTTATAAAAGGTAAGTTGCTCTTGAGATTAGACCTAATGGAAAAGAGGGATATGAGGTCATCACAACACTTGCTTTAGTAAAATTAATAATTTGTTTTAGGTTGTGATCTTGCAGGGACCTGTTCATTTTGTACAATATCTAGCATATTTAGGTAGCATAACAATAATTTATACTGATACACCATAATTAGCCTTGCTACTATAAAGAAGACTTCTGAAATATAGGTTGAAATATTAAATGCTTTAAAATGGTTCAGATTCCGAATGTATCTCTGGGATACATTTTCTTCCCATGGGAAAATGAGTCAGTGTTGCCAGATGGAGAGGGTGTGTATTTTGTTTTGTGGCGGGAAGCAAGGCTAAACTGGATGGACAGTAACTGGTTAGTAAGGGGTTATGGACTGAAATCTTTTCCCCCAGGCATCCATATGAAATGTACAAACCAATAATTGCTCTATGAGTGTGGGATTTATGTACCCAGTTTCATCCCTGTTTAAATCTTTACAGTTTCCAGGTCAGAAATTGAAGTTGAAAGTGAAGTCAAGATCATCTCCTAAATGGAAACCTTTTATTGTATCTTCTTGATTGTAGCTCTAAAGTTTTATTGGAGGTGTTAAAGCAAGTCCTTATTTTGGAAGCTTTGGAGTGGCTTGTAAAGATCACTGAGCTGAGGGTGTACCACCTTGATTTGGCACAGACTATCTAATTTTTGCTTAACTAGTACAATAATGGAGATAAACTGTAGAGCCAATTGCTTCATCTGGATTAAAACAGTATTGTAGCAGATGAGCCATATAAAATTGCAAAATAGATCTCTTTTGGTTTGCACTCTGACTGACTGAGTTGGGCAGGGGCAGATAAGAAGATAACCATTTCCTGTCAGAGCAAATTCTTAATCTTCTTATGATCACAACTCCCAAAGATCAGAACTACTAGCCATTCAACCAGCCATCTGTCTTCCCACTGCTTGGCAGGTGGGCAAGTGGTCATCTGTATCTTGCCTATTTCTCTCCATAAAGGAAACTCAGCTCCTTTCAACCTGCAGTCTGAGAAATTTATGGTTACCCTTCCTGGAGTAAGAATGATTTCTCTGAGATCAGGGCCTCCTTGAGTTAATCAAAGTATCCTGCATCTCTCTTATCACAACAGTTCCTATCCAGAAGTTTAACATTTCTAAATTAAGTGGAAGGAGAAAAGGGTGTTTTGCCTGGAAACAGTTAATGGGCTAGCGCACAAGCCACAGAAAGAAAGAAAAAATATTAAGGCTTTGCTTGGTGAGTGGATTTTGAGGAGGTGTGTGAAGAAGAGGGACGAGATTTAATAGCTAGCGTGAAGCAGTTTAAGTATTCTTAGGCCCATGGTTTTACTGGTCAGTGCTCTACAGAAGCTTATTCTTGTCTACATTGCAACTGTACTCCTGCTCTCACTACGTCAGTAGCAAACACTCTCAAATGTTACGATCTCTATGGACATCAATATGGAAATCATTGCACAGCGTTTCAACTTTGGGGGGGGGGAGTTTATATTGACACGGCAATGCATTAACTATCTTAAGGTTTTTTTTCTGATACAGGTACACAATTAAAGGCATCAGAAACCTTATTTTTTATGAACTTCCAACCTATCCACATTTCTACAGTGAGGTCTGCAATATGATGAAGTTGGCAGACGGTGGGGAAGAAGCAACATTGACCTGTACTGTGCTTTATTCAAAATATGATGCCCAGAAGCTGGCTGCTGTGGTGGGTGTTGAGCGGGCTGCTCAGATGCTCCAGTCTTCCAAACATGTGCACCTTTTTGTCACTGGAGAAACAGAGTGAAGCAAGAGATGGACTCCCGTGATGACTTTGTCTAAGATTTTTGGGCTTGTGTTTCTTCTGTTACAAATGTTAGGAGATAAAAACTTATTAGTATGGGATACCTTTGTTTTAAAAAGGCTCATCCTGCAAGAATGAAAATTTTAAAAAATGCCAAATAAATGAGCATTTCCTCTTCATGTTACACCTTTCCTGTGCCGTCATTTATGATTCCTGGTCCAGTGCTGTTGCTACTGTCTAGAAAGATCATTTATTTTGTTTTTATATTGGATGGTAAGGAACACCTTCCTTTTGGAGAATGTCACTTCCTATTCTGCATTCTAGTCTATGTATGGGAAAAACAGAACAAAATGATTCACCTGTGGATGAGGAAAGAAAAGTTATAAGTCAACAGTGGTGAAAGTCTTTGGCATTCATTACCAATTTTAATAAAGTGGCCAATAGATTATAATAGGAATCAGACCTTGGTCCAAATCTAAATCTTGGAGAGGTACTGTTTGACTCCATAGTTGTCAGATGGAAATGAAAGGGTTGTATATGTTACCTTGAGACATGCCAGCAAATGCAAGGAGGGATACAGCATTTGCCAATTTGTCCTTGAAGTGGCTCTCCAGTAAAATTCATGGTTGACTAGGAACAGTACAGTGCCAAGAGAGATACAAGTAGTCATTTATTATATCAAACACAAGAGATATTGTATGTAAATACAGCTGCACTGCCTGACTACATTTTGCTGTTGTAAAGCAATACCACTGCTTACGTTTTAAAAATCTTTGTCAATGTTAAGTATCCCTTAAGTGTCAAGATAGTCCTGCAGAGACATGGGTCACTGGTCTGTGCTGTTGTCTTGCTTTCTGTCTGGTTCTAAGCTAACTAGTCGTATAGACGTAGAATGGGATAATTCTGCTTAGGATGTCCCTGTAATTCTGTTAGTATTGGAGCTAAATACCCATTTTAAAAAATCCATTTAGATAGATCATAACTATTACTAGTTTTGTTTTTTTATTCTGGTGCTAACTTGTTTTTCTGTACTTGTATACTTCCCAGGGTGAATCATGGTCAGGGATATAAAAGCAGATAGCTCAATAAGGATTAAGCTTTTTTCCCCCTTTCCACAGGAAGTACTTATCAGAGATAAGAATCTGTCCTCTGAGGAGCTGAAAGTAGGATAGCTACTTAGGGAGATAAATGTGAGGTAATTTAAAGGCAAAGTAAGTTGCCTTATAGAATTATAGCATCTAGGCACTTCATCTTATTGAAGTATTCAGTTCTGGTGGATTTTTTTAAAATCAGCTTTAAAACAATTTTTTCCTTAAGATCATCAAAACTTTTTTAAAATAAGCTTTGCAGACCTTCATTTTCTAGTAGAATTTGGGTCTGTGGTAATGCATTTTGTGTGTTGGAAGAGTTTGTCTGCAGAGGGGTGTGACTTGCACTGTGTGAGTGACATCTTCTATGAACAGGCCAAATTTGCCTGGTTCATGTCCTTATTGCCTGGAGCCAGCTATGAGCATTCCTGGGAGGATTAGGCCTAGTTGTCATCACACAACAGATTTTAGTGTGGGCCTGTGTGTGTCACTTTTAGATAATGCTTTGTGCAGTGATCAGAGTTACAGAGATGGGGTACCTGTAGGGGCTTTGAAATGAGACATGTTACCTAACAAGGTTTGGTTCTCCCCCCCGCCCCCAATGCATGTAACTGCTAAGTGCCTCCTCTATGGTGCTAAGTGCCCTTTCTGTTCATTTCCCACCACCAGAGTGAAATGCTACATGCTCCAAGTGTGCATGCCAGAGACCTCACAGATGGATTCGCATGTTGCCTGCCCTATTCTCTGTGCTCAGGTTTCGGGGGGGGGGTTGATTTGATGTAGGAGAGGCGGTTTGGCCCCCACTGCTGCTGCTATAGTAATCCTGTGCCTTCTTTCTCACATATACTCACAGCACAATTGGGGCAGGGGGGAGCACACAGGGTGTCGACCAGCTGCAATGCCAGTGCTAGTGTATCTTGGAGATATGCTGGTATAGTGCCTTGCTGATGTTGTGCTGTGACTAGAAGCCAATGCGACAGTGGTACAGAGCCCTGCCAGCGCAACCCTCTGCATCAGCAGGGGAAGAGTTGGACCCAGGTATGTAGCAGGTGTTATTCAGCTCCCAAAACTGCCTGATACTGGGAACACCTCCCCACAGAACTGGCATAAATTTACATCAACAAAAACCACAGGGTAGCCCCTTAAGCGCTTATGAAACAGAAAAGGCAAAATGCCCTCCACAGGACCAGTCCCACCCACAAGTCCTGGCACCAGAATGAAATGCTACATGCTCCCAAGTGTGCATGTCAGAGACCTCACAGATGGAGTCCCTTGTTGCCTGCCCTATTCACTGTGCCCCCCCCCCAAAAAAAAAATAGCTGGAAAATATCTTATTGGTATTTTTTGGCTATTCTTTCAACCGGATATGGGGAGAGTGTATTTTCGGATATCAAGCATAGCCAATCCCAGATAATCCCAATTTGGGGGGGATTATCTGGGAAAACAGGATAACTACAATTAAATGGTGTTTAAAGAAAGTGCACTCCCTTTAAACACTGTTCTGGGTGAATCTGCAGCTTCACAAATGCATTCAAAAGGAATGCAACACCTTTAAAGACCTTTGGCTCCATTATAGCCTATGGGAACCATTATAGTCAATGATCCCCATAGGCTATAATGGAGAATCGGGGGGGGGGGGCTGTTTTTTGATGCAGAGACACCAAATTTTCAGCATAGTTTCTGGTGCCTCTAGTCAAAAGACCCCTCCGAGATTCAAAAAGTTTAGGCCAGGGAGTCCAGTGCTATGGGCCCCCAAAGAAGGTACCCCCAACCTCCATTATTTCCAATGGAGGGAAAAAAACAGCAAAAAAGCAGGGACTGATGTCAAACCAGAGTATTTTGCAGTAGAAACTGAAGGTGGTGGTGGTGGGGACATTTTTGTAGAACTGGTGCCACTGTGGCAATGCCAGCTCAACAAATCCAAGTCATGGGGTGGTGTTGCAAGCCCAGCACAAACAGTGCATGTACAGAGTGCCCACCAGAACCAATGCCACTGTAGCAATGCCAGCTCAACAAATCCAAGCAAGGGAGTTCCAAGCCCAATATAGTCAGTCCATGTACAGAGTGCCGAGCAGTACCAGTGCAATGTACTGGTGCCCAGCAAAACCTGGTGCCTTCCCTTAAATGCTTGCTTTTCCCCTCCATTGAAAACAATAAAGAATGGGGTGTTAGCCTGACTGCCTTATCTACGACAGAGGTGTTATGAATTATTAATTTCAGTGGTGTCACCAATGTATACAGGAAGCGCAAACCTCGAAGGAAATCCGGTTACAAATGGAGACGAGGCTAATATCTGATGAAAGCAATTGGTTCCTTTTATTTCCTAACTCTAGTTCACATACATATGCAAAAACAGATTCACACACACACGCATACAAGATCCTCAGTGTTACAGAAATAGCAAATGGTTACTTTTATGCTGAAGGTATGGGGAAGGGAGTAGCAAATACTTATCAGAGGCTTGATCTTCCAAACGGAGAATAGTTGAAACAAACAGGCTAACTATAAGTTCTCTACTGCACACGGTTGGAACTAGCCAAACACGTGTGGACCTCTAGGCTGCAGTCCACGAGGTCAGAGAGGAAACAAAGGATTATAATAGCAGCAAGACTATAAGGGAAGAAGATGGCTAGCGGGGTTCAAACTGTTGAACCTCACTTTATATAGGGGGGCTCTTGGGGGCTGGCATTGATGCCATCCTCCTTGCCCTTCCCACCTGTGGTCCGTCCCAGGACTCTATACTATTGGTTATTTAATAATGACGTGCCTACCTAAGAGGAGTGGGCAATGTTGAAATCTAAACCTTTAACTCAGGGGATGCATCTGGTCAAGGTGTGAAGATGGTACCAAGGCAACCTTTGATGTGTAGAGCAATGTGGCTTGGTCCCAAGCCATAAAACGACCATTCAACAGGAAACTGTCCTTTTTGATGCAAACCAGATATCAGGGTTACATGTTTACCAAGAGTTCATCAATGGTGGTTATATCCAGGCAAGCTGTTGTTTTGTACTGCTAACAATGGCGATGGAGCTTCTTCCTCAGGCTGAGCTGTGTCTGTGTGTCAAACTCCATTTGCATAAACAGCAGGCTAGGAGCTTTGCAGGTCACAGCATTTCAAGGCAAGTAGCTTTCTCCCAGGGATTCACAACCACAGTCCAGGTGTGTGCATGTGTGTCAGCAACCACAAACATACATACCTATATTTATCAGAAATAACACATAGGCCAACAGGGGGCACCTTCTTTGGGCACTCTGTACAGCACTGGTTCTGCTGGACACTCTGTACATGTGCTGGCTGTGTTGGGCTTGCAAGCCCCCCCCCCCCCCTTGGATTCGTTGAGCTGGCATTGCCACACACCATGCTAGTATAGGAATTTGGGTTTTTTCAGGAATCCCAGATTTGGGGGGGGGGGCAATGTATCTGAATCCAAAAAATCCCGATTTTTTTGTGCACACCCCTAGTGCCTACAGCTTCATTCACTTTTTGAGATTCCATTCCATTTTTCACCTGTTTCCTGTAGTGTATGACCTTTAGGTGTACAATTTTAATTCAAAATGGAAGTGGAAGCATTCTGTTATCTAGAAAGAAAATGCTAGCCTGTCAAATCTGTATCTGAGGGGGGCAAATGACTCTCCCTAGGCAGAAAAAAGCAGGTTTAAAATGAGATCTAGTCATCTGAGGAATAAAGAGGTTTCTTCAGGGATGGTTTATGATGGCTGTTCTTTGTATCTGCAAAGTAAAAGGTGTTTTTGAGAAGCACTTGGGGGCATCAGCCACATGTTTTCAGGCATGACTATTCTCAAGAAAAGATCACTCCCTCTTAGAACCTTTTTGCCTCTCCACTTTGAGCTGAAATCAACCCCCCCTTTGGCTAAGTTGATTTAACCTTACTCTGGCTCCTTAAAGCCTATTAAGCTAAGTAATACCATATTAACTTTGTCATCTTAAAGCACTGTGGAAAGCTGAATTTGGCATCAGGGACGTGTGTTCA